GTTTAATCTCTCGTATAATAATACTCGTTCGAACATGTTTACCCTCAAAACGAATAACAATTAAATTATACTACTGGAAATCCGGTAAATACCGACCAAAAAAATCGACCAACTTTGATCGGTTATGGCCAATTATTGACCAAAACACGGCCAAATAAGCTTGGACGGTATTTTGATGGTCGTTTTAATATACCGACCAAAGTTGGTCGGTAAGGTTGGTCGGTCAATTAAATTTTAAAAAAAATATTGCAAGAAAAAACCGACCCAAGTTGATCGGTATTTTAATTATGTAATCAAAAGATTCACCATTTGAGAATCGAACCGAGGTGTGTACTGTAGCAGGATACTATTCTACCACTAGACCATTGGTGCATTTTGTTTTAAAGTTATCTTTTTTTTGTTTATACTTTTTAATTGTATTTTCGCACGAAAATAACCAACCAAAGTTGGTTAGTTTTATTAAAAAAATAAAATTACCGATCAAAGTTGGTCGATTTTTTAAAATGACCAGCCGAATTTACCGACCAAAGTTGGTCGGTTTTTTTAATATTATTTTTTATTTATTTTAATTGCAAAAACCGACCAAAGTTGGTCGGTTTCTTGAAAAATAAATTTCGCAGGACTCAAAAATAAATTCCCGCATTTTTACGCCAAATAAAACCGACCAAAGTTGGTCGGTTTTGTAAAAAACAATTAAAAATTAAAATATTTTGAAAAACCGACCAAAGTTGGTGGGTTTTCGGCTGGTTTTTTGACCGACCAAAGTTGGTGGGTTTTTGTCAAATTTCTAGTAGTGTTATAAGTGATTTTAAAGATATGCGAATTAATTCAATACAAATGATAAATTGTGTTAGATTAAACAAGTAAGTGACGTGATTAATTGTCAAACCAATAAGGAGAGCAATCTCGAATTCAGTAACAGCTTGATGAAAGTGCATGTCTTCGATCCCAAGCTCATAATAATGAAGAACTGGTGAAGTAAAGCAAGAATTTTGAATAACAGAGAAAATAAGAATGTATTATCTTAATATGCGTGTTACAACGGGATCCTAATGAATAGTTTGACTCCCCTTTATATAGTATGTGATAATCGGCTTAATGTATGCATATTTTAATATAAATCGCCTCACATTTTGGTCATGTCTTGACGATTTGAGGTGTTTAATATGATGATTTGTGCTAAATTGTGGTATTTTTATGTGTAGGAATCATTCTGATGCAATTTGGGACGAATGGCGCGAATTGGAGCGAAATTGGGAAGAAAAGGCAAAAAGTGAAATTTGATGGCCACAGCCAGCGTGGGGCGCTGGCTGTGGCGCAATTTACAGAATGTATAAAATTTGAGCGCCAGGGCGAGCGCCCCACACTGCCCAGGACGCTCAAGACGGGAAAGTGGCCTTTTTCGACTAGGACTCGTTTATTTTGACCCCTAGACGCTCCCAACTTATATAAAAGCCAACCTAAACCTATTTTGAGGGGGGGAAGATGTTTTTGAGAGGAAAACACAAGCACAGAGCCGCCGTGGAGGCAACAGTTTATCAAGTTCTATCTTTCTTCCACCAAACTTAGTAATTTTTATGTTTCTTTGTATGATTTGTAGTTTGGCTACCATGTCTATGTGGAGCTAAACTTCATGTTCTAGGGTTGTGGTTCTTCATGACTATTGTTATTCGGATATTGGTTTTGATTTCTTAGTTTATCATATTGGTTTATTTATTTAATTTTGCACTTAATTATTTGATTGTTTGATCACCAATTGAATACTATCTACGAATCTTGAATTGAACTCGAAAGTGGGAATTCTAGATTGCATATAGGATTGAGTAGAGCAAGTTCTTGAATTCGGGCATCGGGGAATGGATTCGCGATTAGGATGGACATATAGCTAATTGCCTTGCTTGGTTGATATACAGGAATTATAAATGTATTCTTGTTGATTCTAACTCCATAGACATATAGGCGTTAGGTTAGCTTTAATAGGCAAGTAATAACTCGATAGATTCTTATGAGCAATATTAACCATGTCAACCAATAAACTAGATAAATTTGTTAGTCAATTCAATTGAAGAATACAATAGGAATGTTAGATAGCCCATGACCCTAGATGGTTTTTATTACATTGATATCATAAAAATTTGTTTTTCCCTTGTTCAGATTTCACCATTTATTTTCCTTATTTTGATTAGTTTAGAATCAAATATTTCTAGGTTTAATTCTTCAGATACTTAGGATAGTCTAATTTAGTTAATAGTTAATCACAAGTCCTCGTGGGTTCGATATCCGACTTTTAGTCACTTTATTACTTGACGCCGCGTATACTTGCATCTGCGTTTGGCCACAACAGTAGGGTAGTTTAACCCTAAGTACGTAAAAATCTTCTGTTTTACTAATCACTAATTTTTTGCCGATACGTGCCGAGATTCACGTAGTAACATCCAGCTGAGCACGAATATCACGGTCATTTATTAGTTATGCTCGATTATCTAATAATGTTCTCCGAAGTTTTAGGATTCGAATCGGTCCTGGGGGACGTGTCCTTGATTCCTCCGAGGTCAGGTATTTTTGCCGGACCCCGACTTGAGGGACTCCATGCTCCGATTTCGATTCCATACGGTCACGTCTCTGCTCCGTTACTTCATTGAGAACCGAGGTGTCCCACAGTGCTCGGTCTCGCCCGTATACAAAACCATTATCTCAAATTTTGGATGAGTTCTCTCGAACTAGCTCGGCATCCGGTGTAATTTTACGGCTAGTTAATTAACTTTTACTTTATTGGACCTGAGTCATTAAATTATTTTTGTAACAAAAGAATAATACAACTCTATCTAACAATTACATAAAGTCACTAAGTTATTTTCTTGCATAAAAGAATTACTTAATTTTGCCTAAGTATCATAGAAAGTCAGTAAACAAGATATTTTATAACCAAAGAATCATTCAACTTTGCTTGAGTATTATATAAAATGTCTATTCTGTTTCCTCCTAATGACTCTTTGTAATACTTAGGCAAAGCTTGAATAATTTTTTGGTTATAAAATAAGTTTAGTGACTTTAATGATACTCAAGTAAAGTTGAGTGATTTCTAACGAGATACTCAATAAGTTTAGTACAACAAAATAAAAATTGGATTATCATCCATTAAATTAACTCTTGGGTATCCTCTGGCAATGAATTTTCCTTTTGCCTCTCTTCTTAGTTTAGAGTAAGAAGAAAATATGAAGACTTTGGAACAACTTTTATTTACCAAATTGCACATAAGCTTTGATCTTAGAAGTAGACTTTGTTTTTATTCATTATGCTTGAAATTATTATGACAAAGTAAGAAACAATATTCTTCTTTTGAGAACTCGCAAGTATATATTAGGCAAAATTTAGCACATCGAAAGTATTTTGACAAACATATTTTTTTCCTGTAATAAAAAATAAAAATGTAATCACCCTAAAAATTTTATCTTGTTTCGAATTAGGGATTTCTTTTTCCGTACAAGAATAAATATTGCACCCTAGACTTATGTTAATCATTGCACATGATCGTATTTGTGATTAGCATATTATTAAGCTTACAACTAATGATTATGTTTAACTAATGTGAGTTCATAACCAAAAGATTGCCGGTTAAACTCCTACCAATATCACATGTGTGTTTTCTGATTTTCTCCAATCCTATAAGCATTGGTAAGATTTTTATTTTTGTAAATCATTATTGAACACTACTAAGTTGGCAGATGTATATGTTAAAATTGAGGTACTCACCGCTTTCTTTAAAGGAAAATTTCTTATATCTTGATATCTTGATTGGGCGTCGCCAAACTTTACAAGTTCCATTCCATCACACTTCAAAAAATTACTATTATCTCTATCTTATTTTTATGTGAATGTTCACTGGACAAAAAATTAAAAGAGATTTTTGACATGCAATCCAAATGTGTAAAATATCAGAATTATCCTTTAAATGAGTGGTGGTGAGAATTTTTGCATTTTTTTTTATCTTTCTCTCCTCAATTATAAGGAGAATGAATATTTATATCAAACGCGTCCGAACAAGTGATAAATGAGGATATTAAAATTAAATAGTTTTAAGGTGTCATTATTTTTTAACAGAATAAAAAAATGCTTCACATAAATTAAGTTTCTAGAAAATACTAAATGAATAAAAACTGACAACAATGCATAATACTGTGAGCAAAAAATATTACTCCTTCTAGTTCACTTTAATTGATTTTTTTAGTTATTTTCATACTTATTAAGAAATCCATCTTTTAATATTAATTAATAATAAAATAGGTTATATTAATATTAATTTCTTTATTGAAAATATAATAAAATACTCATAGGCTCTTTACTTCATAAATAATTATATAAAAAAAACACATTTTTAATATCTAAAGATATCAAATATTATGAACCATTAAACTGAACCGAAGCGAGTACGTGACATCGAGAGTCATGGTCCTGAAAGTTATTCAGCAATAGACTAATGAAATATAAGTTGATATCTGCAATTAAATTGATTAGGATATCGCTGTTATCACAAACATTAAACAAAAAACAAAGTTGAAAAGTATATACAATACAACTAACAAAAACTTCAAAAAAATTATCGCATCTGTGTAGTCAAGTTTAAAGGAGAAAATACTCAAACAAATAAATTAAAGAAATTGACAAGCAACAAATAGTCATTGGGGCAGTTAAAAGGACAAAAAAGTTGCAGCTTTCAAAATCCAAAGTCCAATACCACGCGCACTGTACATTCTGTCTGAAGTTCAAGTGTATAAGCAACTCAATCCCATTCGGCACGTGCCAATTCCCACAGACCATCTTTGCACACGTGCCAAGACAATTACGTCATTCAAACATCATCGCACGTGCCATGCAGTAACTCACGTGTCTACCCCCACAGTCAGAAAAGTTAATTTACCCCACCCCTCCATCCTTGTAAAAAGTAAAAACTCACCCGTTCTCCGTACTGTTGTAGCTTAAATACTCACAACCACCATCCCCCTTCTCTACAAAACCTCCCTACAGCCATAAAAACCTTAGCCTACACAAAGTACAGAGAAAAAAAAAATCAGAGCTATAACCATAGCTGTTTTTCTTCTCACTTTCTCTCTGTGTACGAATTTTTTTGTTTAATAAGGTTCTCTCTTAATTTTTTTCTTTATATAGTTGTATTAGGATCTATCTTTCTTCAACGTGAAATATTTGACTTGTTTCAATTTTCACCTCTAGTAACAGCAACAAACAAGTCTTTGATTCCTCTTATCTTTTTTTTTCCGCTGTTCATTTCACAAAATTCCACACATTTTTCAGCATCTGATTCTCAAAGCCTATTACCGAAAGTTCCAATAGATTAGTTTTTCTCCATTTTGTTGAAAATCAACAACTATGTTTCCCTGTTACTAAAATTCTTATATACGATATGTCTGATATATTTGGTGACGCAAACGAGTCGAATGATAATTTTTCTTTCGTGGGGTCGAATTTTAGTAAAATTTCGATGAGTACGAGCAGTGATCATAGCCACAGCACAAGTTTTAGTCGGCTATCCTTCGAGCTTCCGCCGAGCTCGCCGGAGCAGAATCCGACGTTGAAGCCTCACCGGTCGTCGGATTCTTGTTTTCAGGCGATACGTTCAGTCGGAAAGGGGTTGTGTTTTAGGGATTTTAGTCTCGTCCGGCAGATCGGCAGCGGAGATATCGGCAGAGTGTACCTCTGCCGCCTCCGTAACGCTGCGGATGAGGCGGCGAAGGAGCGGCTTTACGCCATGAAGGTTGTGGACAATGAGGTTTTGGCTTTGAAGAAGAAGGATCAAAGAGCTGAAACTGAGAGGAAAATTATTAAAATGTTGGACCATCCTTTTTTGCCTACGCTTTATGCTGAGTTTGAAGCTTCTCATTTTTCGTGTGTTGTTATGGAGTACTGTTCTGGTGGTGATTTGCATTCCCTTAGACATAAACAACCCCATAAACGCTTCTCTCTCAACACTTCTAGGTACTTTTTACTCCCGCTCTCTCTAATTTGTATGTATATTTATTTTTATATACATTGGGATATTTACTTCATTTTACTGGGTTTTTCTTGGATAGCTAAATCGAGAACTGATACACGCCATTAGATTGTTGTTTTTTTCTCCACAACTTGATACTCTGTTTTTTGCCTTGTTTCTTTAAGTCAAAAAGGACTCTTCTACTTGGTGATTTCTTTATACAAATCTTGTTCTATTTGTTTCATTCTGCATTTGAGAAAAAAAATCTCATATTTTTCACACATTCTTTTATTTTTCGGAAAATTAGCCGCAAATTTCTATTAATGAGAAATTTCCCGTTTTGGGTTTTTCTTGTTTCGGTCATTTCTCAACTCTCCAACGGGAACTTACTAAATCAGGGTCTTTTCCCTTATCAAATAAGCAATCAGTGACTTTTTTCTCTGTATTCTAAAAATGTGTTTTATCACCTTTTTCCCAAGTTGAAATTTCAGTTAATTTTCCTACAGAATGGGGATTAATATTTATTTTATTATCTTTCTTTTTCTCTAGGTTTTACGCAGCTGAGGTTTTGGTAGCACTCGAGTATCTCCACATGTTAGGGATAATTTACAGGGACTTGAAGCCAGAAAATGTGTTGGTTAGATCGGACGGTCACATTATGCTCACGGACTTCGATTTATCCCTTTGCTCAGACTCAATCGCAGCCGTTGAATCACCTGACTTTGCATACGAATCGTCAACTTCACCTCCGCCATTTTTCTGCATATCCAACCGGCTGTTCCGGTCAAAGAAGGTACAATCGTTCTCAACCAACCGTTTGTTTGTGGCTGAACCGGTCACTGCCCGGTCATGTTCGTTTGTTGGGACCCACGAGTATGTGGCACCTGAGGTGGCATCCGGTAGGTCCCATGGAAATGCCGTGGACTGGTGGGCCCTGGGTATCTTCATTTACGAAATGGTCTACGGAAGGACGCCATTTGCTGGTGCATCCAACGAAGCTACGCTGCGGAGCATTGTGAAGAAACCATTGACTTTCCCGACCAACGCACCTGCTACAACGAGTGAAGCGCACGCTCGGGACTTAATATCTGGGCTGTTGAACAAGGATCCGAATAGGAGACTCGGGTCGAAGCGTGGTGCAGCCGACGTCAAGACCCACCCGTTTTTCAAGGGTTTGAATTTTGCACTTATACGATCAGTGACGCCACCATCAGCACCAGTAACTAGGCCAGAGAAAACGATTTCGTCACATTATAGCAGTGTCAAGAAACAAACGGCGCCATTTGAGTACTTCTGATGACCAACAGATATATTGTATTGTTAGTTCAACGTGGCCAAATATTTTTCCCCTCAGATATTTTGGTCGACGTAGGAGTAGTAGTAGCAGGGTTCACAGAATGTGACTATTTAGTATTATTATATTGAAAAAGAAGAAGGAAATGTATATATAAAGTGACTTCCCATGCGGCAATGATACAAGGTTTCTTTTACATTATTTGGTCAATTTTTTTTTTACTAGTGTCAGTAGGTTTCTAGTTAATATTGCATGCTTAATTATCCGCTCTTTTGACATGCCATTTGAATTTCAATAATCTAAATATTGTTAATCAAGAAGTAGGTTAACTTAATCGAAGGTTTAGACCTTTTTCTTTAATGTTGAGAGCACTAAATAGAGAGATAGAGTAAAAGAACGTGTTTTAAAATTTTTGAAAGAATAATTAAGATATCTGTCTTTTCTGTTATGCTCAAAAGTCAAATTGAGTGAACTTTGAAAATCATACTTTATAAATATAATTGAAATACTTCAGTAAAGTTATTTGTTTTATCACTGAAAAATGTTAACATGCCGCATAGATATTGTTATACCGTTGTTTCAAAATCCTTGTTAAGATCCAACTATATTAAAAAGAATTTACCAATTACCACATGTTGAAAATATATTTTATTTTATTTTATTATGTTTTCCTTAAAAATTTAGCCTGCTTTACAAATTAATTGAGTCAACTTCAAAATGTGAAAAAGCAGTAGAGCTTTTGATACGAACATATTGGTACACATCATGTCTTACGTAGTAATGCCTTTTCCAAACAGAAATAGGTCCCACTAAAACCTCCTTAGACAGCATGAATATTCCCCCTTATGGGCATATTTTTTATTAATCACATTGATGTTTCGCCGAAATGCTATACTTTTAGGGGTCGTTTGGTTGGATTCGGGTTTACGCCGGTATAAGTTATGCCGGTATATATTATATTAGGATAAATTATGTTGGGATTGTTGTTTATTCACTGTTTGATATGTTGTATTAAGAGTGACAATTGTATAATTTATAAGAAGAAGGTATAAGTTATACCGATACTAATTACCCCACCCTCTATAAGGTATAAGTTATCCCGGTGTTAAAATTAACACTGAGATAACTTATACATAGTTTGCTAACCAAACAGAATATTAAAGTGGTATTAAATTTTTATATCACTCATATACGTTCTTATACCTCATACCAAACGACCCCTTAGTACATTATTCACATTATATTTAATTGGTTTAGTGATTAATTGTGTAATATTTGAACTACATTATGTTATTTTATGTGTAGGAGTATCGGAAGACAAGGACGAGTGAATTGCACAAAAAAAGGACAAAAATACGAGAAAAGAGCACACAAGCACGAAGTACTCAAGCCTAACTACAAGCCAGGCGTAGCCAGCTCTGTAGTTAGCTTGGTCGTGCTACAGGCTAGGCGTAGCCAGCTTGACCACGCTATAAGCTTGTCCTCGCGAGGTCTGTAGCCCGATGGTCAAAAGTTCACGAATTAAAAGATTTCAACCCGGATTTATACTCAAAGACTTCAACCCTAGCCTATAAATACGCCCTAAACATGTCTAAAGAAAGGGAAGACATTTTTGAGAGGAGATTCGACTTAAGGAGGCAAGAACACACTAGGAGCAAGGCGGAGAATTCTTCTATGAGTTTTTCACTTCCTTCTTCCTATTTTTATTATTGGTTATAAACTCTAGTATTGTAGTTTTGCATACTATAATGAACAACTAATTTATTTTTCGAGGCTTTGATGGTACCTTTTGTAGGATAAATTCTTATGATGTTTTTATATAATTGAGCTGTTAGATTTCTCTACTTGTTCAACTATGTGTTTATTGTTGTTGATTGAATGACCATCAATTGACTGTGTCTATTTAGTGTGTACTGCTTGAGAGAGGGTACATATTTAGGTAGTTGTTGAGCAACATCACTCCTAACGTGTGAGAGATCAATACAGAGGGTTTAAATGCGATAATAGAGATAATGAAATCTTGGTGCAATTGTAGTGAGCAGTGAATTAGTGCCAGTTAGCGTAGTTCGAGAGAATATGTCAAATAAATTTTGGTAGTTGCTGGAGAGAGAGAGTTACTACACCCAAAGTACTCACGATCGGTAGAGAATATAGGCGAAATTATAGAAGACATAGCGGGAAGGATTCCGACAATTGAGAAAATCTAACTCTATACCCCCTTAATCTATTCTCCAACTCGTAGTATCTTTAGTTATTAACCTACTACTTTATCTTGTTAGTTAATTAGATATAATAATCGTAATATTTATAACTTAGAAATTGTTCGAGCTTGTCTTCTTAGTGATAGTGAACATTTGTAGCTAAACCATAGTTCTTTGTGGCATTCGTCTCTGGACTCTTAGACTGAATTATATTTGTAGGGATCGCTTATCCTTTTTAAGACTAGAGTTGGGCGTGATCATACACCTTCTTATTTTACTATGATAAGATAATAAATCAAGATATCTATGTATACTAGTAAGATTTTTTAACCTATTTATGCTCACAACTAAAAGATGAAGTTTAAACAATAAATTTTGTATTTATTCATTTTTCAGATTGATTAATTAGGCATCTAGATAATATTTGAATTGAAGTTTAAACAGTTTATTTTTAAGCTCAGTCCATAGACATTTTGTATTTTTATATGAATTTCAGTTTTAAATTTTTTTCAATGTTAAAAATATTTAGATGGAAATTGAAAATTGAAAATTGAAAATTTTATTAAAAATATACTTCCAGAGCATTATTCACTTAAATTTAAATCATATTCCACTTAAAATCTAAATGATATTCACTTCAGTCCTTTTTATCTGTTTAATAAAAAAAGTTTGGTCAGAGAATACTTTTTACCCTAAAAAACCAAAAGACTTGAATTACTTTTTGAAGTTCCACCTTCACTACTTAGAGAAAGCTCATACTATTCATTAAGGAAGAGATGAGAGTAACTTAATTAATATTTCTAGTAATTAATAGTATTAAATATTCTTTTATTATATGTGTCAAACTTTAAATGACATATGAAAACATACAAAATGAATATGAGCGAATTGATATAATATGTAAGTATTTATTTCAATATTTGGAACTTAATGTCATGATGGAAGAGATAAATGCGGATAAGGTTTCAGAAAAGTTCTATTCATGAAATTCCCAACACTTGTCAAGCGCCTCAGATTTCCAGCCGAATTTATTTTTGATATTATTATATATTTAATTGACTTGTAAGTGAGATTACATTACAAAGAGAGTAGTTAGTAGATCCCCCACTAATGACAAAAACACCAAAATAAATCCAAAAATCTTCTTCACTAAAAAAGTCGGGTTGCAGACGCCGAGGTTGAAACTGATGATAATATCTCTTTCACGCGCTTTTATTCGTGCATGACTTCACGTAACAATCAAGTTGTACATAAAGGCAGCGTGATTAAACGCGGATAGTAAAAATGGAAAGTAATAGGGTGTTGATTGTCTTACATGTGACAACACATGGGGGTGGGGGGGGGAGGGGTGTCCAAATGACAACCTGCCAACCCGGCAGCCTTAGCAGCTTACTTTAAAGCACCTGTTCCCTCACTGTCTCTTCCCCCCTACCCCACATAAAGCCACCCCAGATGGCCCCACCCCATAGCCAACCAGATGCTAACAAACCACCATCCTTTTTTTTTTTCGCTAAAAGCCACCATGCATTTAATCCCAAAATTTATGTCATGATCACCCACTTAATTCCATGAACCAAACAACCCCTAAAATCTTGATTCTTATTTCCTTCCTTTTAACTAATATTAGTATTGGACAGAGAATATTAAATATAACTTTTATAAAAAATTATTTGCCTACGAGAGCATACATAAGAATCATTATAGATGCAGGTTATAATTGTTGTTCCAAGCCCACGCTTGGAAAGACATCAGTTGTGGGATTGAATTTTAGGTTGATTTATTTTGTTTCCTTTTTTTCTTCTGTCTGTGTAAAAAAAATATTAAGTATATCAATAAATTACAAATTGCATCACAAAAAAACATGAGAGAAAATACTAATTGCTTTTTGCATCGGAAGGTTTAATAAATATATCGAAAAAACTTCCAAACAAACGTGGGAGGGAGTATTAAGGTTTTCTTAAACGTGACAGAAAGTATTAATTGAGAGGAACGACCAATCGATAAAAGAACATGAAACCATTTTGTTTCAATAAAGGTACGAGAAATGGTTGGCGGCAACGAAGTAGATAAAGTGGTTGGATTTTGCGAGATGTTCCAACCATAGCTGGATGTGATTATAATGTAAACGAAGAATCTATGTTAAATTTTATTAATTGTGGCAAATATCATGTTTTAAAGCTCAATTCCAAACATATGAACTTATTTTCAAGAAGCGCAAGAAGTTCAAGAGGCTCAAGATTGATTTCAAGAAGTCCAAGATCCTTCTTAAAATAGGATTTATTTTATTCCTTTTAGAACAAGGATTTTTCTTTTAGTAGTATTCTAGTTTCTTTTCCTTGTAGAATAGGGATTTTACTTTTTTTGTCTTTAGTTATTTTATTTCCTTATTAGAATAGGAATTGTAGTTATCAAAGAAGAGACCTAAGCCTATATAAAGGGTTCTCTTGCCTTGTAGAATAAATAATTCACGTTTTTAAGGTGCCTAGTCTTACAATAGAGTGTTTTTCTCTATTTTGTCTTCTTTATCCATATTTTTGCTTCCAAGCAAGGTGGTGATAGTCTTTATCTTATTTTCAATTGCGTGTGGTGTTTCTTTGTCATGTTAATTGATTACATGTGGTGACTTTAGGAACTTGTTTAGTTCTTGATCTTTCAAAAACACGTTTCTTGATCTAAACGTTCTTTTGATATCATAGAATCGTAACTATAATTGAATTGGTGCAACATCGTTATTTACTTGTTTTGAACGAGTAAATAGTCATTCTTATATTTCAAATCGTCATCTTTCACCTCGTTTTTGAATCATCATATTTCGAGTCCTAAAACTTGAGATACGTTGTTTTTTGAAATTGGCCCACAACCACGTTTTCTTTTCAAGATCTTGACCCTGGTGGATTGGTTTTTTTGTTAACTCGAAGAATCATATCAGATTCCAAAAGCCGAACGAGAATGAATACCATACAAAAGAGTCAAGACCAGGCTCCCTAATGGAATGTTTAA